GCTAAACATTATAATATTTAAAATCTGTTTCAGGTATCCGGTTCCGAATGGTTGGTAGCCGGCTGAATTTGGAAATAATGATATCTCCGTTTAACTTCACATCCGGATTGTTAATTCAACCTAAGGAAAAGAGCTTCTGGCACAGCAACGACGTTACTAGCAGGTGAGGTTTACTCCCTTTTTAGCATGGCAAAGAGAGACTTGATTTTTCCGCGCGCGATAACGCTGTCCGTTGATCGTATATCTATGGTTTTTAGAACCGAGTTGGCATACACCGAACCCGACATACCGATTCGCAATTCCTTGCCGAACGTACCAGACTCCGGGGAGAATCAATACTTGAACTTCGCACCGAGCGATCGACGCAAGGACGCCGCACAAAGCACGATTCCCTTCATCGACGTTCAACCGGTCACCCCGAATCCGCCGGTACCGCTCTCAGGCGCCGGTATCTTTCACAAGGGTCGAAAGGGTTCGGGCGGATTCGTCGCATTGAAATTGACCACCTACGATTTCGCGCCCCACCTACAGATCGATCTGCCACCGGCACCGCCGGTTCTCGAAAGTCCGAATGAGATAAAAGCTTCGTAGAACCTTTCGTGTTTTTTGAATATTTTATCGAAATAATGATTAAAGAACCTGTGATTTGCCAAGGACCTCAATATACGTATCGAGGTAAAAAACGAAGATATGTATCGAGTTATTGCATACGAAATGTGTTAACACTTTCAAATGTTTCAGCTGTAGAAAAAAATTGAATTTTTTAAATAAAGCACGAAACAAAAAAAAATAGATATTGGAATTTATCTAACATTCGAGATACAAAACTTAATCTTTTATTATCTTTAACCCTTTCCATTCTTAGATTCTATTTTACATTCGATCGAAGTGTGATTACGAAAATGACTTCTAATTCCGAGTAATCTTTTTTAACTGCGTATACCTTGTCTCCTTGAAAATTACTTAATTTGAAAATGCAGAATCTCTGACGTAAAACCGACATTTCTTATGCAATTAACAATAATATTTAAGTCTTGTACTCTCTGTAATATTACGTATAAATTTTATATTAAACTTGTTATACTCATTATTAATTATCTGTCAGTAATATTAGTGAAAACTTTTTTAAGATTTACGATATATTTAACGAATCTCATATTGTCATATTGAATTTAGAAATATTGTAGATAAATATTTGTGACGGCACAATGCTGCCGTTTTCTTTGCAGTGCGATTTGGTTACCATTAAAAAAAAATATATATATACACACATACATATATAGCAGATTTAAGAAATTCCAAAAGATTATGATGTAAGAAAATATTTCATTTTAGATTTAAGATTAAGATTAGAAAAGAGTATTGTACAATGATTTTTTTACCATATCGCGACTTTATATAAAATTGTATTATAAACCGTCTCTCAGATTTAGTTTATAATTTCATAATGGACATTATTTGAAATTTTCGTAACTGAGTTCGTAATATTTTTGTACGTAATATTGTACGTCGATCAATTTTTTCTTCGGTTTTCCTTATGTGACAATTAATGTATGTCTTTCAAAATAAATTGTCATAATGACGAAGTCTATCTGCATATGTGCTGACTGTTTGGAAGTAATGTATCATAGATATGCATGAAGTCGACAAGAAATCCCCATATTCATCTCGAGACCATTAACCCTTTGCGGACCAAAGTATTTCAATCGTATTTCTATTAATCTAATTATTTAAATAAATAAACAGTCTGATCGAATATCAAATAATTCGTATATTGGTGCAAAAGACCTATAAGGAGCATTACATTTAGAAATTAAAGGTCTTCGGTTTTAAGAAAACTCGAAGAGCTGCTTTTGACAAGTTTTGGATTGTGCGTCCGCAAAGGATTAATTAAAACGGAAAGAAAAATGTGCACTCACCTGTACTCGCAGCGGATGCATCATGAGGAGATGTAGCATATCCGTGGGCGGCAATAATTCGTGCAGAGTTGCTCCTTGCTGTCGGATCGCTTGGCACATGAACACCGCGAGATACCGATGAAGCGGTAGATGAAACGATACTTGCAAACTATCACTCTGGGGAAAAAAAAAACGATGAAGAAGAACGTATAAATTATAAATGCATTGAGGTACAATGTAAAATGGAAAAGAGTTGCACTCACCACATTCGGATCCGTATAATTCACGGCATCGAGCCAATCCTGCAGGGCTGTGAGGCAGAAGCTGAGCACTTGTCGGCTTAATGACGCACTTTCAGGCCCACGGAGATGCGACACCAAGGCCCACATTGGATACGCGCTGGCTTCCAGCTCGGCGCTGAACGCCGCGTAATACGTGTTGGGCTCGAACTCGACGTGCTGACTTAACTCTCTCTGATTGACATTCATGCCTTGAAACATAGACAGGAAGTCGAACCACATTTCTAGGAGAGTATTATCGCTCATGAATCTAACGGCGACCGGCTTATGCGAGAGCACGTTGTTCAAGTCGGAAACCAATGGCCAGTAACAGTGCTCCTTCATCACTTGACGTCCGCAATCCACGACATAATGGAAGTTCTTATCTGGATCTGAAATACAAAAATAAATCTTCCTTTCAATCTTACTGCTCAAACTCCGTTTGAGTTTATATTTTAAGTCTATTTTTATTTCATCTTAAAAAAAGACTCGTACGTACCGTGCAAGGTATTTTGAATGAGTATTTTGCTCATCATGTATTTTAAACTAATAACCATAACGTGTAATAACTTCAATTGATCAACCATCCTTAATGCCAGCTTCTCGTTACTAAACAGCTGAAAAGTATAAAAGTTGACGATTAATATCAAAAATATAAAGAAAACGTAAATGAAAATTTGCCATACATGTTATTTCTTAAAACAAGGTAAATACCTGTACGCTAACGTGCACAACTCTATTGCTCAACGTGTCGGGATCCGTGGAACGTTCGAGCATCATTGAGATCCTGCTGTAGTGTAACACAAAGGCGCGAGTTAAAGCCTCCTTGTAATCGGGATCCGGCAACATGTTCAAGAGCAGACAGACCAATTTCTGCGGAAACTCGTAAGCAACGGTCCAGAACATCAGTTCTTCCAAAAATGTGGTGTGTTCTAAGTGCTCTTGAAGTGACACGCATTCTATTAAAAAGAATTCATAATCATGTCATTAAGTCGAATATACTAGTGCAAATTATTTTATTGTAAAAATCATTACTGATAACAAAATTATCGTCAAATTGTCCATATTGCAATTACTTACCTTTATATTCGTCCGGAGGTTCGGGATTTGGTAGCGATTTCACAGCATGCTGATATATTTTGTTGCTATCTTGACAATAGCTGTCGTACTCCGATTGTCCCGTTAATACGGAGGGATCCATGAGGCCTCGGTACTTTTGCGGATTCGTGAGAGCTGACGTCATAACGTGCCTCATTAATGCGCCCATGTTGTTCAAGTCGAGCAACATGGTCAAGTAAGCGTCTGCCTCGTGTATAGCACCTCTGTAATCTGGCACCCCCATTTTACTGAAAATAAGCAAAACAATAATCAATCATTAGAATGATTATTATTAACATATATTACAATTTTATTCCAATATTCTTCTGAATTAAAAATCTTTAAAGATAATTCAAGCACAAATTTACAGGCACATTCTACGTCTTAGAATTAAAAGTCTAAGTAAACATAGATCTAAAAAAATTTCGTTTCTAAGATATGGTCATTTTAATTCTAAGCAGCACAAATTATGCAACTTTAAGATATCCATACTCCAAAATATGCATATCAGTTTACATCATGTGGGGAGAGAGAGAGCAAAAGGTCTTTTACATTCTAAGAGTTCAGATGTGTTTAAAGAAAGACCTACTTTGTACTACAAACTCATCACTCAAGAAGTCGATAATAACTTTCCGCCGGAGTATAATGTAATCAACGTACCAATTTTCACGTAAATGTTGTATAAGTCGAAGAATAATTCTGGGCATCATCGCCTCGGCTACGCACATCAGATTAGATGGTGCGACTGATTTATTTACAGCAGCGTTTGGCCCGTGCCTATCACAAAATCTGTAAGACAAAAAACGACAGTCAGCGATAAAGAAAAATAATTCATAAAGTATTCGATAAAGAATCGCATAAGGAAATCTGTGGAAATATCCCTGAGACAAATCTTACAACGGAGAGAAAAAGGGAGAGAATTAGTAATGTTTAAAGAAAATTGAAATTTTCTCGAAATCAACATGATTTCAGTATATCCTACAGATTTCCACTATTGCATGGAATGTACTCGTGTTAATCATCTTACCCAGTCTCCTTCATCACTGACGTATCGCCACAGTCGCATGCACCACCTGCTTGGCTGAGAAACATGTTGAAGTCGTGACGATAGTGATTTCCCTTCTTGAAACACTCGGTACACAAGGACATACAGGGAGATATGCCGCATGTGCGACAGCGATACGCTACAAAGTTTGGTGTCCATACCAGACCGCAGGTGGTAGCATTATCGTAACTGCGTACTGAAAAAAAAGTAAGAATTTAATTAGTAAACAAAAGCACAGTTCTAATTTACTGTCATAATACAATTATTGCCACTTTGGAGTGTAATTTTACAATATACATTTCTGCAATTGTCATCAAGTTTCTAAATGTTTTCGCTATTAAAGTATATTAATAAAATTAATCTGTAAAAACTAATATGAGAAAAAAAATACTTTGCTTCCAGAAAGAGAAAGACTATTCTGAGAAATAATTAAATTCTTCTTAATATTCTATAGTTTCTATGCACAGATATGAATAGTAATAAGTAATCTAAATGATGTAATTATAAGTTGCTTAACATATTTCTTATTTATATACGTATAATAACAAATTTATAAAAATTAATGTTTCAATGCATAAAAATGCCCTTATGTAACAGTTTGGAACAGAAACTCAATGTGATTTTTGTAACACACAAGTTAAGCTAACGTCATCGACTATAGTTGCAATTCTATACTTGTCTTCTTGTGACTATATGTTTATCTGAAAAATTAGTGCTGCCAAATACGCAAATTCTGCATATTTATATCTGCGCGTACAGTTTATAAAACTGCAACATTGCAAATAAGGTATACGAAGCGAAGTGTGAAAACATTTATTATAATAAGAAATATGAGCACACCTATAACTGTAACCAGTAGTAATTCTTCATATTTACATAATTTTGTCTTAAGATTGCATTATTTTGTTGTAAAATTAACTACGTTTACAAGTTCTTTCTATATCTAAACGTTGCGGAAAATTCATAGGACAGTGGACAAAACGTCGATACTTAAACCATTATATAATAACAGTTATAAATGTTTCTATCAAATAAAAGACGTTTAAAAAGAATGACAGCGAATTTATGCAAAGTTTCAAGATATTTCGATAGAAGAAAAAGACATTCTTAACGTCCAGGAATTACTCTTTTTAAACAGATACAAAAAATTAATTATTTACCCAGCAAAATCTTGTTCTCATGAATTTTATTAGTCTTTAGAGGAGTCCTCAATCTCGGAAACAACCAATTTTTAATTTTTGTCTACACATTTCACAGCCTTTAAAACATTTTAATTTTGTCAGTATTATTCATTCCAATGTTTCACCTTTCTTTTCAAAGTGGCTTTAGATTTGTGATTATAATGGGCAAAATACATTTACCCAATAGGTCAAAAAGTGGAGTATTCTAAACAATACCAGACATTTCCAGAGTCAACGGTTTATCTGAGAAATTAAGAAATCAAAGGTTTACTTAACGAAAGTTATAGCATTCTGAGGTATCATTGATCTCTTACAGTTCTGGCTATTTTCCATATCTATTTGACCACATAACGCGTTATATAAATTTGACCTTAACTCTTTTAGGCACTCCATATACGATATCGTAAATTAAATCTGTATTATTTATTGTAACAAAAATCGAATGCTAAATTGCTGTTTGTAAAAATAATTTTATCGTTTTCGATTTTCTGACGCTGCTTATATAAATTCCAAGTAGCTGAAGTTAACAATAAATATATATATATATTCCAAGTAAAATGTGTCATTAAATTCTGATTATAACAAAAGTATATAAATTTTCTCAACGAGAGTCGATAAATATTACACGATATTAGCAATTTGTTTCGAGCTACAAGTAAACATTTATCGCAAAAACGATCTTCCACCTGCTGTGTCGACACTTCAGTCATTCAACAAATAAAATAACAAACGTCAACAACAAACAGACAGAAGCCTTCTGCAAAACAATGCAAATTTTTTGCAGAATGCATATTCTGTATTGACAAAACTATGTACCTCGTATTAACAGCTTCGCGTTTACCTATTTAACAATAGAAACATTATTCATAGAGCTATTAAATTTCGTCACAAGCCACCCATTCTGCCCGCCGTCGCAGGACCATTTCATCGCTGATATCCACCTGTACTGGCGAACTCGTCGGGTGTCCGGCCGCCAGCCATGAGCCACTTGCACCAGTCAATGGTCTCCCAGTCGTCGATGGGCTTGCTGGGATTCAGCAGAACGTCCAGCAGCTCGTTGAGGTACTGCGGACAGCCGCCGGTGTCCAGGCCAGTGGTCAAGCTGATGTAGGCCGCCGCTCCGCGCTTGCCCTTGCCCATCAGCACCTGGACGTCGGGCGACGTGCTGGTCGAGGTCGAGGCCATCCTGATGACCCCGGTCGTCGTCTTACACTTGGAAAAAGACGTCGTCGCCTTCGTCGCCTTCACGATCTCCTTATATAGACCCGCTCGGAGACTGTTTTTTCCTTTTTTTTTTTTTTTTTACTTATTTTCGAGGGAGGGTCCGCGGACCAGGACCAAACGCTCGGTCAGTGGCCCCATATCAGCAGCGAGAAAACGCCGCTCCTCCCGATCCGGAGAACACCGTTGTCGTCGTCGTCGTCGCCGTCGTCGTTGTCGCGGTCGTGACCGACGGCATGACGAAGTCGGCGACTCCGAGCTCGGGGCTCCCCCCCCGCCCCCTTACCGTTAACGTTAACTGACGTTAACGTTCACGGCGCCACGACGACTTGAACGCACGGACGATTTCCTCAGCCGCCTCCGCTTCGAGAAGAACGAGACACCCGCGGGGGAGGGAGTGTGCGACGATTGCACCCGGTTAACGAAACTGATCGCGCCCAGCGGGCGAAATCGCGCCCGTTGCGACGAGACGAGACGAGACGACACGACACGGCACGGCACAGCGCGGTATACAGCGACGGTGACGATACAGGGCGAATCGCGAGACGAGAGGACGAGACGAGACGACACGAATGCCACGCGAGAGGAACGAAGCAACGTATCGGCGGATCGACGATCAACGATCGCGAGAACCGTACCGATCGACCGTCTCGCGGAGAAGGATATGAAGAGACGAGGAAACTGATGATCGAAAAGCGATGTGGGACTTCAGACACTCAGACAGTCCCACTGGCGCGTCCACTCCGATTTGCTACGAGCAGTACGAGCTCGACGATCGCTGACCGGTCTGCCTTATCGACGTGGTGAAGTGAGGCGAGTCGAGTTAAGGGTCGGTGCATATGGTGCGTTTTTTCAGGGTTAAGGCCGGCGCGCAAAGGAAACTTGAGCGGTACGCGGGATCGACCAATTGCAGCCGAGAATTCTCGACTGTGATTGGTCGATTCGTTCGCTGATTTATTAAATCTCATTCTTAATGACGGTTTTTTGTGGCCTTTAACGCCATGTGACTTCAAAGCAAATTCTGATTGACTTGTGTCTATTTCTATCAATGTAGATTAATATATTGATCTCGGTTTAATTTATTTTTTATCTTATTCTAAAGGCCATTGCACGTAACAAGGTTTTGTCATAATCGTAAGGCCGTAAGAAAATAGACCAATCACACTCGATTATTCTTCGAGCTCAAGGAGAATAATCAACCGTGATTGGTCTATTTTCTTACGGCCTTACGATTATAACTAAAACTTTGTTACGTGCAATGGCCATAAAGCCTTGTGTCCACGATGTTAGAACTGTGTCCGAGTTTCGGTTTAAGCCAATGAAACTGCTACTTTTCTGTAAAAGCTGCAAGTTGATTGGCTTAA